CTCTTGATTCTACTTTTAAAAGAACTGAAGTTTCTTAGTGTCTTCTCAGCTAAGTCTGTTGACAAGGATTTAGAATAGGCATGATCCCTTAATGAATGTATGAGTGATAACTAATGGCCAGCTTTGGTATGTGTCATTTAATACTCAAGGATCCATCCTCCCTGAGATCTTGGAAGTTAATTGATTTGTTGTTGTTTGGCTAGGCAGTGAGGTTAAGCGACTTGCCCAAGGTCATACAGCTAGTAAGTGTCAAGTATCTGAAGCCAGATTTGAACTCAGATCCTCCTGACTCCAGGGTCGGTGCTCTATTCACTGAGCCACCTAGCTGTGCTCATTGGGAGTTAATTGAAAGGCTTACAATATAACATCATTAACAACAATAATATTATTCAAAACAACAATAATAGCTCACATTTAAATAACATCTTAAGTTTTACAAAGTACTTTTTTTTCATATCGTCTATGTGAAGTAGGGATTGCAAGTATTTTACCCATTTTACAGAGGAGAAAAACTGAACAGAGAGGAAAACAGAGAGACGAAGTGACTTGTCCAGAGTTATATGTTGAAGATTTGTATTTGTATATTGTATAGCATCCTGAGAAAATAACAACAATCTCCCTTCCCCCAGTACATTTATATTTGTTACACCTCTTTTATTCTCATAACACCTCTGCAAGATAGATGAAACAGGAAGGGTACACCCTTCTTTATCTGGGTAGATTGGGACAGATCCTTAAATCTTGAACCACCACCACCATCACCACCAAAGTCTGACAGCTAACTTTCTCTGACTAGGATTTAAACAATTCCAAGATGATACATATTTTGTTCTAAAATGATAAGGACAGATTGTGGGGTTTCTAAGGTAGTTTCTAGGTCTAAATCTATGATCCTATGATTGTACTGGTTTATAACAGACAGACACCAGCTAATCAGCCATATATACGAATAAGCTTACACTTCTTCATTTTCTAGGTGAGAAATCTCAGAAACAGTATGTGACTTGCCCAAAGTCATATAGCAAAGTAATGGCTGAGCCCAGAAACAAATCTACATCTTTCAACTCCCAGTCCGAGGCTTTTTCCCGGTGGTGTTGGGAAAATTGGAGCTTGGGCATTGATTCTGCAAATGAGAAGTAGAGGGTGGATTAGAGTAGATTTAAGGGCAAAACCAGAGTTTAGCTGCCAGAGCTTGGCACTGAACCAAAGCTAGAGACACTGCATGTGGGAGTCTGTCTTTTTAATTTCATGTTTATTCTGAACTTAAATACCAAATGAAATAGGCATTTCCATGTACACAATATAAAATAAAAAGGAAAATTGTACATGAAATTGCAAGTCTTTCTTGTCTATAGCTTTCTTTACTTTTTAAGTATATAATAAGTTCAACCTGAAGTTGTCAAAGCTGTCCTGCTTGTTTGTGCTTCTTTCTGACCTTCCTCTTGTTCTCTTCTTTGCATTTTTTGAAAAGATGCTTCAGTGGCTCTCTTTTCTTCCTTTTCTTTTGCTACCTATACTTATCCCTCCCCCACTGTACCACTCCAGCTATTGGAAACCAAAAAGGAAAAACAAAGTCTTTTGAACAAATATACATAGTTCAGCAAAACAAATTTCCACATGGGTTGTGTCTGAAAATTTATGTTTAATTTAAATTTTGAGTCCATCACCTCTCTGCCAAGAGGTATTAGCATGCTCTATCGCTAGTCCTCTAGAACTATAGTTAGTCATTGCCTTAATCATATTCGTCAAGTCTTTCAAAATTATTTTTCTTTACAACTTGTTGTATAAATTGTTTTCCTTGTTCCGTTCACTTCACTCTGCACCAGTTCATACAGGTCTTCCCCACATTTCTCTGAAATCATCCATTTCATCATTTCTAATAGGGCAATAGTATTCCATTATATTCACATATCATAATTTGTTTAGCCATTGCCCAAGAGATGGATACCCACTTAGTTTCTAGTTCTTTGCTACTATAAAAAGAATTTCCATAATTAAGTTTGCATATATGGATCCATCCTTCTTTCTTTGGTCTCTTTGGGGAGATAAGCCTAGTAGCGATAGCGCTGGGTGAAGGGGTCTGGACCAATTCACAGCTCCATCAATAGTGTGTTACTAGTAATTGTCATTTTCTTTCTTTCTTTCTTTTCTTTTCTTTTTTTTTTTTTTTGGCATCTTTGCCAATGTGATAGAACTTCAGACTTGCTTTAATTTGCATTTTCTAATTTGGCTAGGCATTTGGAATATTTTTCATATGGCTTTTGGTAGTCCATTTATTCCTCTTCTTTCTAGCGTTTTTAGAACAGTAACAGGCATTGAATTTTGTCAAAAGTCTTTTCAGTATCTATTGATATAATATGTGGTTTTTGTTATTTTTGTTGTTATGTTTATAATTTTTCTTACCTTGAGCTAACCCTGAATTCCTATATAAATCCAGCCTACTAATAGTGTATAATATTTTCAACATGTTGTTCTGCTCTGTTTGCTAGTATTTTATCATTAATGTGAAAATATGTTTAATAGGCATGTATAGGTATAGCCTATATCAGATTGTGCGCTCTCTTAGAGAGGGAAGGGAAAAGGGAGGGGAAGAAAAATTTAAGACTCAAAAGCTTATGGAAGTGATTGCTGATAAATCAAAATAAATTAATAAAAAATCACTATTATTAATATTTTACATCAATATTCATTAGGAATGTTGATCTAAGGTTTTCTTTCTCTGCTTTCTCTCCCTTGTTTAGATATCAAGACCCTATTTGTATCATAGAAAGAGTTCGGAAGGGTCCTTTCTTGTCTTGGTTTTGGGAATTATGTAATATTAGAACTCATTTTTTTCTTCAAATGTTTTATAGAATTCACTTTCAGATCCTTCTGGTCCTGGAGTTTTTTTTTTTCCTTTGGGAGTTCGGTGTATTCCGTTAATGTGGGTATTTTATATTTTGGTATTCAGCCACTTCATCTAAGTTATCAGTTTTAATGGCACATATTTGACAAAATAATTTGTTTCTTTTATTTCCTCTGTCATGAATACAAATAATTTTGTCCCCCCCCAAAAGACTAGCTGTTTATCTATTTTATTCTCACTATCTTCAAAATCTCCTCATTTCATTTATCAATTTAATGTGGGTGACTTTTTAGGATTTTATTTTGATTTCAACTTTTAAAATCTCTTTTTCGATTTTCAGAATTTCTATTTGGTACTGATTTGGGGGAGGTTTTTGGTAAGTTTTCTAGTTTTTTTTATTTGTATGTCCAATTCATCTATTTGTTCTTTTTCTTTTTTTATTGATGAATGTGTTGAGAGATGTAAATTTTTCCCTAAGGACTACTTTGGCCACATCCCATAAATTTTGGTATGTTGTCTCATTATTGTCATTGCCCTCAGTGAAATTATTGATTGCTTCTATGATTTATTCTTTGACTATTCCCTGTTCTTCACTCAGTTCAAGGTATTTCTTCATTGTGTTTGGTATTTTCTTCTGTTTACTCATATCTCTAGTTTGTCAACCAGGGGCTTTTGCTTCGGTTAAGCTCTATTCCAGTACTCCTGGTTAGTAGGGATAGGCTCTGCTTGAGCTTGAGTTTGGAGGAAAGCTTAGGCCCTACCTTCTGCTGGTATTGTTTGGTCTTGTCGCTTGCTATGATTTGGGTTAGATAGTGGGTTTCGTCAGGGCTGTCTGGATACATGACCTGTGTCGATACTGGACTAGCCCTATTTCCTGCTGTGGATGAGGTCTCTGGATTGCCTTATCCTGACCACTGCCCTAGCCTCTTTCCTGCTGCAGATTGGGTCCTTGGATCACTCTGTGCTGGGTGCTGCTCTGGCCCTATCTCTTGTTTAGGAACCAAGATGTTGTGTACTTTGCCTTCTACCTACCCTAGTTTATCTCCCTGCCATACCTCCACATGGAATCTGGCAATCTTTTGTGCAGACCTGAATTATGTAGAAGAGTTTACAGCTAATTCTCTTTGCTTTTCTTTATAATTGTTTCTTCTGGTACATTTTTAGTACTTTACTGAAGTGTTTGTGGGGGATCTGGGCTCCTCTAAGTCCTAACACATTGTCATATTCCCATAATTCTCCTGGGGAGTCTGAGTCTTACTGCCTTCCTTATGCAATTACACTGGTATTGGGGAGCAATGATGAGGACACTCTGATTAGGTTCTTGATTGGCAAATTACTGAACTCTCTACAATCTTCACAAGGGGAAATTGAGTGCCAGGAGGATGCAATTAGATCTAAATTTCGTATAGTGAGATTAGTCACAACAGTGACTGCCAGTGTCAAGAGATGGGTTTATGATAACAAACAATTTGCTGCCAGGGTGTACTTGAAGCATTTCCACCTTGGATTATCTGTCATAGAATCATAGATTTAGATCTTGAAGGGACCTCAGAGACCATTTAGTCTAACTCTTTAATTTTACAGAAGGGAAAACTGAGGCACAAGGAGGTTAAAGTGACCTGCCCAAGATCACATAGTAAGTGTCTGAGGTTGAATTTGAACCCAGTTCCTCTGACTCTAGAACCAGTGCTCTTTTCCCTGTAGTAAACTGCCTTTCAGAGCTTAATTTGCAATGGCACAGCCTTCAGCATTACCTAGAGCCACCTCCATACCATGACAAGGTAGCAGAAGATGCCTTTTTTGATTAGGGCTGGATGAAAGTTAGGTTAGGGAATTAAAACAAATAATATTATCACAAACTAAATATCACCTCATTTGTCTGAAGCAATTTGTATGTCCTTATTAATTTTGATGAATTTTCTTTGCTGTGGCAAATGGGATAGAGTTTAGTAGGTGGTCTATGAGGACTTTTGCCCCACATACCTAGAAGGTTTGAGAATTACTGCTTTACATAGACAAAATTAACCACAAAACTACAACCTCCTCTTCCATTCCCTATCTCAGAAACCCTGCACCTCTTTATGAGCTTTGCTTATTAGAAATCTATTCTTGACAACAGGCATCTGAACAAAAAGAGAATGGAGCCTAGATCTTCCTAGTGCTGAGTCAAGAGTGAACATGAGACTTTATGCAGGGTATCCTTTACCTCCTTGTTCCTCAGACTATAGATAATGGGGTTCAACATGGGGATAATCACAGTATAGAGGACAGAGACCACACGGTCCTGATTCAGAGAGTAACTAGATGTGGGCCGTAAGTACATGAAGATAATGGTCCCATAGAAGAGACTTACAGCAGTCAGGTGGGAGGCACAAGTGGAGAAGGCTTTGCGCTTGCCCTCAGTTGATTGGATTCTCAGGATGGCAATGATGATAAACATGTAGGAGACCACGATAATGCACAAGGAACTCATCTGGATGAAACCTCCAAAGGCAAAGACTAAGAGCTCACAGACATGGGTGTCAGAGCAAGACAAGGCTAACAGTGGGGGAATGTCACAGAAGAAGCTATTTATGATGTTGGAGTTGCAGAAGTCAAGAAGGAAAGTCGAGGTGGTCAAGGTCACTGAGTTGACCACCCCAGCCACATAGCACGCAATCACTAAAAGGACATAGATCTTCAGGGACACAGTCACAGAATAGAGCAAGGGACTGCAGATGGCAACGTAACGGTCATATGCCATGGAGGCCAAGAGGTAGCACTCAGCTGAGGCAAACATGATGAAGAGGCTCATTTGGGCCACACATGCTGGGAAGCCAATGACCTTGTGCATCTTTGGGACTGTGACAGAGGAGTAGCAGAAGTCAAGGAAAGACAGGTTGGTGAGGAAGAAGTACATGGGAGTGTGGAGGCAGGGGTTGATCCGAATCAGGGTGATCAAACCCAGGTTCCCCGCCACAGTAATTGAATAAATAACAAGGAACACACCAAAAAGGGTGCCCTGCCAAGTAGTGTCCTCTATGATTCCAAAGAAGACAAATTCCACTGGGGATGTTTGGTTCCCTTTCTTCATGGTCCCTGCTTAAGAGATAGTAATGGTATTGGTGAGGATGGAGGCAAATGGAGCTCTGTTAAGGTAGAACAAATTCCCCAAAGTAAGTCATGAGTGCCCTTCCTCCATGCTAACCTCCTCCCCTACCCCTGGCCTGGGCCATCTCAGAACCCCTCCAGGTAGCTGTTTGCATAGCTCAGATGAGATAGAAGTCCTTCCAATGAGATAAAGGACCATCATATCTTATCATTGGCCCAGCCATTACATCCTAAGGCCCTCTTGGCCTTGCCATGTGCTCTCCTTCTATATTCTGCAGAACCTTGGTACTCTCATCTGATGTACTGACCCCCTCAAGACCCTTGGGCCCTGCCATTTGCCCCTTTGCTCTTAGGCTTCTGGGCTTTTCCACTCACCCCAATTAGAGTGTGAGCCCCTGGAGAGCAGGAACTGTCCTTTATTTCCCCCTATTTGTAGCCCCAGCCTTTAGCATAATAATTAGAACATAGTAAACACTCAAATACTTCTAAAAAATTTATTTCATTCATTAGATGTGAACCAAACCTGGGATTTCATTGTAATAGGGATTTCTTAGGTGAGAAAACTACCCATGCCAAGGCAGGTAGGCATCTGCAATATACAGTCTTAAAGAGTTGCCTGAGGCCCTGAGAAGGTAAGTAACTTGACCAAAGTCACACAGCCAGTATGCGTCAAAGGCAGAACTTGCACCCAGAGCTTCTTGGTTCTGAAATAAGCTTGCTACCCATTATACCCTGCTGCCTCTCTGGAGAGCATCATCGATCCATAGGGCTGGGAACTTAAAGGAACCTCAGAGACCAGGTAGTCCAACCCCATAATTTGTCATATGGGGAAACAGAGGATCAGAGAGGGAAGAGATCTTCCCAGGACACATAGAAAATTCACACTTAGAATGTCAACACTAGAAGAGGCCGTAAAGACCATCTGGTCCAACTCCCTCAATTTATAAATGAGGAAACTGAGGCCCAGAGAGGAAAAATGATTTACCAAAGCCCGTGTTACAATCTAGATGTCTCAATTTTTAGTCTAATACATTTTCCATACTGGCTGGAAGTCTCATTTTCTCTTCCTCACAAATCCAAGCCCCTTACTTCCTTCATAATTGGACTCAAATGCCACCATCTCCAAGCAGCCTATACTGATTGCCCCCTTCCATTAACCACCTGTTAATTAGCCTATTTGATGCTCTTTCAAGACCTAGAGATTCATGATTTATAGATATTTATTCATACATCCTTACTTTGCTCTGTAAATATGACCTTACTAGTTTCTACCTCTACCTCCTCAGAGTCTAAAAACTTCCAGGGTAGGCACAGTACTCGCCTGGCCTGGGTACCAAGGAAGTGGAAGTAGAAATAAGTGGAAGACATTGTCCTTGCTTCTCATCAAACTCTTGTTATACTAAGGGATAGGGGTAAGGGCGAGGGAGTGGGAAGAGAGACACCAATAGAGCTGCCCATAAAACCTAACACTACCTGAGAAGTCTTCTAGCAAGGTACAAAGTTCTAGGGAAGGCTCCAGGGAGGCTGTAACCAATCAAGGGAGATCATGGAAGGCTTCAAGGAGAAAGTGGCATTTCATAAAATTTCAGAGGTGGAGGAGACCTCAGAAGCCATCTAGTTTTCAACCCATACCTGAAAAAAAAATTCTCTACCATAGACCAGACAAGTAATAGGTCTTGAAGACCTCCAGTGATGGGAAAATTATTCCCTGGTGAGGCAGCCCAACCCACTTTAAGATCAGCTCTAATCATTAGGAAGGTTTTCCTAATAAGGTTAAATTTTCCTTTCTGCAACTCTCACCCCCTGCTCCTAATTCTCCCCCCTGGGGCCAACTAAAACAAACCTAATCTCTCTTCAATGTAACAGCCCTTTAAGTACATTAAGACATCTCTCTTGAAGGATCTCCCTCCCACAGTGGCCTCAGAGAAACTGGGAAGACTTATATGAACTGATGCAGAGTGAAGTAAGCAGAATCAGAACAATTTCTGTAACAACAACACTTCAAAGACAACCAGCTTCAAAAGATTTAAGGTGTCTGATCAGTTCAGTGGCCAACCATAGAACCGATGGAGTATGCTACCCACCTCCTGGAGAGAGAGGATGGACTCAAGATACAGATTGAGACATACATTTTGGATACGGCCAATATAGCAATTGGTTTTTCTTGGTTGTGAATATTTGTTTGCAAGGGTTTTCTATTTCTTTATAAACTGGGGGATTGGAGGGGAAGGAAAAGTGAGAGTGAGAAAAAAGCAAATGCTTATTAATTGAAAAACTTTAAGTTAAAAAAAAGAAGACCCCTCCCCAAATCTTCTCTTCCCCAGGCTAAATATGTCCAATTTCTCCAATACATCTTCATACGGTATAGACTTGAATCACTTCACTATCCTGCTTGCCCTCCTCTGGGCACTCTCCAGTTTATTAATGTCCTGTTAAAATGGAGAGCCTAAAACTGATTATCATCTCCCTAATCCTGGCTGCCATATCTCTGGATGCAGTCTGTGGTTACGTTAGCCTCTTTTTGTTTTGTTTTGTTTTTTAATTTTTAGGCAATTGGGGTTCAGTGACTTGCCCAGGGTCACACAGCTACATTAGCCTTTTTTGAACTGCCATATTACACCAGTGGCTCATGTTAAGTTTGTAGTCCACTAGAACACCGAGATCTTTTTCAGACAAACTTTTGGCTAGCCACTTTGTCCTTGAGAAATTTATTTTTTGAACTCGAGTAAGATGTTAGATTTCTCTCTATTAAGTTTCATCTCATGAAATTTGGCCCAACGTTGTAGCCTGGTGAGAAACTGTTGCATCCTAACTCTTGTCATCCAACATATTAGTTATCTTTCCCAATTTTGTATCATTTAGAAATTTGATAAGCATACCTTTAGCTGAGTCATTGACAAAATGTTAAGCAGCACAGGGCTGATCACAGAACAGATCTCTGGGGCACTCCACTAAAGATATCCTTCTAGGTTGACACCCAAGCATCAATGACCACATCTATCTGAATTGATCTTTAAAGGATATGAAAGAATTCAACAGACAAAGATGTGGGTGGAGGGCATTCCAGACATAAGAAAAGACATAGAGGTAAAAATCACATTGGATGATACTGGACCATAGAGGTGAGCAGTTTGGCTGGAGCATAATATAATTTGGATGGATGCGATGTAAGATAAAGCTGGAAATGATCCACATTCTTTTTTATATCCTGCACTTTGTTCTACCTGGCAAATGCCCCAGAAAAATTTCACTTCTATCTTCATATGTGTCCCCTTCTTTCCACTCAAACAGCCACCACCCTCGTCAACCTCACCCTTATGTTAGCCTCCTAACTGAGCTTCCAGCCCCAAGCCTCTTGCCACTCTGATCCATTTTCCGTGTAGTGCCCAAGAAGTATTTGAAGTAGAGGGCTGACATATGACTTTCCTAAAGCTCAGGAATGACCATGCCACTCCCCTACTTGCTAAACTCCAGTAACTCCTTATTACTTCAAGGATCAAATATAAAGCTGTTTGACATTTAAAGCCCTTCATGACCTGACCCCAACCTATCCATCCAGCCTTATGTATTACTGTTCTTTATACATATGTACTGTGCTCCAGCCAAACTAGCCTCTCTGCTCCTCATAAATGCCCAATCCATCTCCTATCTCCATGCCTTTTCATTGATTGTCCACTATGCCTGGTACATACTTCCTCCTCACCTCTCCTGTAAGAACCCCCCGGTTTCTTCCAACACTCTACCTAAACACCCCCTTCTACATGAAGCCTTTTCTAATGCCTGCAGTTGCTAGTGCCTTCTTCCCCATATTACCTTGTATCTAGTTGGTACGTACCTATGTATGTACATGATGTCTCCCCTGGTTAGATCGTAAGATCATAGATTGCCCTTGAGGGTAGAGACTGCTTCACTGTTTCCCTCATGTCCCCAGAGCCTAACATGGTGCCTGCATTTAGTAGGTACTTAATAAATGCTTATCGATTGATCTCAAAGGCTTTTAGTCTTCCAGAGCTTCCTATCCAAGTATAAAACCACTAGGAGGGGTATTTAGTACAATCTGGTTGAGTGGTATGGCAGAGAGGATATTGGACCAAAGACCTGGGTTAAAAGCTCTCTACTTAGGGTAGGTAGTTTTTATTAACATCTGAGGGACGCACTTCCTCCCCTAGGTAGCCTTTTGACCTTCTGACCCCTTGTTGTGGCCCCCTATATCTGCTCCTTCCAAAGGCCCAGCCATTGCTGCATCCTTCTCCCAGGGACTGCCATCCCCCACCTCCTGTCTCTCCTCCAGCTCACCAGGACCTGAAGAGGGTAGACTGGCAGTCATGGAAGAATTTGTACTATCCCACCCAGCACAGTACTGATATGGTGAATTTATGTAAAATGGATGGTCAATTACCTGTGGGCTCAGTTGGTCTGATCATGAGGTTGATGAGGCTAAAAACCCAGATGTTCTCTGTGGGTCCCAGTCATAGACTAAGCCCTTGACCCTGAGCCTGTGACCCCAGCCAGTTTATCAATTGTATATCACAAAGGGGATAATAAACATTTATTAAGCACTTGCTATGTGCCACACACTGTGCTAATAAAAGAAAAGGAGAATGTCTGATCATATGAGTATAGCTCAATGGGACACATTCCCATTACTGGGCAAACAACTCAGAGCACATATTCTAACACTAGTGGTATACCACACTGCCCCCTCCCAGTACTGGCTGCCCCCTATGAACTTTCCCCTTGTTTTTTGTACCTCTAGAGTACTAGGATGTATTTAAAATAGCTACTTTTTTGTCTCATCCCTCTACTAGACTGTGAGTGCCATAAGAATAGGGACTACTCTCTCCTTGGGAACTTAGCACAGTTTTTTGTTGTTGTTAAGTCGTTTTTCAGTTGTGCCTAACTCTCCATGACCCCATTTGGGGTTTTCTTGGCAGAGATGCTGGAGTGGTTTGCCATTCCCTTCTCCAGCTCATTTTACAGATG